GAGAAAAGGCTTGTCAGCCTGTATCCAGCAGCGGCCAACTCCCATGCTAGCCATAAAAATGCTCCGATATGCTCGGAAGAAAAAGATTTCATATTTATATAGAAGGAATATGCGCTATTTCAAATTTATTTAGGAACTTCTTCATTAATTTGACAAGAGGATTAAAATAAATAAAATAGAGTACAGAGGTGTTGTGTTGTTTTTGTTTTTTTTTCCTGCTAGCTTGCATGAAATTACCCTGGATGTTCTGAGTTACTTGAATAGGTAGTTTCCATTTCCATAAATCCAACTGCCAAAAACTGTCTCAGACAATTTTTATACCTGTAAAAGTGGGAAACAAAATGATCTGCTTTTGTCCTATCTAAATCAGTCTAATGAACTAGTCAAATTAAATAGTCAAATGAGTTTTTCATAAGAGAGACTGCAATGAAAAAAAAAATTTTTTTTAATTTAAATTACACCCATGGTCTGTTTTGTCAGACACTGTTGGTGCACATCTCTCTTTATCCTCACTTGATACCTCGGACAGTTAATACAGCATATTTTGTTTTGGCTTTGCTAAGTTTAACCTTGCTGTGGTCAGAATACTCTTACCATGGTACTCAAATGCTTTTTATTATTCCTCCTAGCCTGTACCTGTGACCAAGAAAGTCCTCATTCTACATCTCCATCTGCTTTGAACTTTCCCAAATGATCCTATTTGCGCTCAAATTTTCACTATCAAAATCTCTCAGGGAGTACTTCCATCACATGTACCATGCAGAACTGAGAAGTCTTTCAGCTCTAAGCACACTATGATGTCAGCATTTTTGCCATCTGCAAACAATCACTTTAAAATATTCACTCAAGCTACTGCTCTTAGAAGGCATGCTCCAAGCAAATGTGCTATGGTTTCTTGTTGATCTCTTAAGACTCTTCGCTTAATCTCTTCTTACTCAGAGTGTCGTCGGAAACACTGAAAACAGCCAGGTTATGAATACTGCTTATGAACATTGCTTCATAAGTTCCTTACACTCCATCCTTACCATAAGTAATGTCTAACTTTATGGAAACATGAATGTGCACACATTCTTCATTCAAACCAAATTTCTATGAAGATTTGCTGGTGCACAAGTCCAATATTAATGATTATACAGTAATGGCCATAGTCATATTAGCAGTAACACAGATTAATAGTAAGCTAATTAAGTAAAATAGTGCTCAACAACTATCTTTAGATGCACTGCACCACATGAAAGGTTCTGCAGTCCTCCTGTGTGAAGAGCTGCCTCCTGTATTTACTTGGAACCTTCTACCAACTTTACACAATGCCCTGTAGATCTCGTAGGGGAAGAGACAACTAACAGCCAACTCAAGCCACTCTTCCAAGCCACACATCATTTTGAAGACTTGTATAGTTTTCCCCCGTTGGCTCTTTCCAAGCCAGATGCCTGATATTTCTGCCAGCTGAAGACAGCAAGTTCAGTAGTTCTTTACCCAGAAGTTGTTTGAGACTTTTGATGATCCCTGTTGCCCTTCTCTGACACATTCCAATTCTGCTGAGTGCTTTTGACCAGAACTGCGCCAAGTACTTAAGATGACAGCAAACCACGTCTTTATACAGCAGCATACTGAGATTCTATGGTTAACTTTTGGTTCACTTCCTAATCATTTCCAGTATTTGATTTGCTTTTTGACCACTAAACAACAAGCTAATGCTTTCACGGAACTATCACTTATAACCCTAAGACCTTGCTCCTAAGGGATAACAGTTATCTTGGACTTAAAAATGAAAAATATTTTTCTTCCAGATCGAAAGTCCCAGAAAAGCCTCAGGAATGTGTCTTAAATGACACTGTTATACTAGGAAAGTGATTTATTATTGTTATAATTAGAGAAAAGAACTAAAAATGGTGAGAAAAGTCCTGGAATTTTTTATGAAGTACAAATCTAGAAAGACCAGCCACAATTGCTACCAAGTTCTTACGCTTCTGTGTTTAATTGCATTCAACTGACACGTGCATAATAATTTTATAGAAAGCATGAACAGCTCTCACTGTTCCGAGCTATGTTTATACACCGTCTTCAGTTACTTTTCTGAGAACGTGAGATAACTGTTCTGCATTTATTAAGGTTTAGTTCCACTCAATTTCTTTAATGAAAGTGTTTTGTGAATATATAAACAACTATGTTAAAACTTTCATATCAACTTATTCTAAGAGCAAACTACCTGCAACAACATCCTGATATGGCAGCATTTAATATCCACTCCACAGTCTGCGCAGTTTAGGCAGAAGACCCAAAGGACAGGTTTACCATCACATATTCTTTCAAACTCTTACAGCTCACTGTATTCATAACTCACACCACTTAGTTGTTGTTGTTATCAGCTTAGTTAAAGCTTTGAAATGCTATCTGCCTGGGAACAAAGCCATTCTATTCTATTTTACTAAAATGAAGATGGCAAGTAATAATTAAAGCAATTAAAAAGCAAACAACCAAAACAAAGCAAACAGAATTTTTCCAATCTGCTTGAGTGTGATCCATAACAGACCTATAGTGCCTTAAGCGGGAAAAAGAGAAAATAACAGAGGATATCCACACTACAGAGAAGTATTTTCCTTCAGTTGCTTATAATCATAGAATCATAGAATCACAAGGTTGGAAACGACCTATAAGATCATCTAGTCCAACAGTCCTCATCACTCCTCATCACCATTGCCACCACAAGCACTAAACCACATCACGCAGCACGTCGTCCGGATGCCTCATGAACACTACCAGGGATGGCGACTCCACCACCTCTCTGGGCAGCCATTCCAGTGCCTGACCACTCTGAGAGAAATAGTTCTTCCTATGTCTAATCTAAACCTCCTCTGATACAACTTGCGGCCATTGCCCTGTGTCCTGCTCATTGCCTGGGAGAAGAGGCCAAATCCCTCTTCACCACAACCTCCCTGCAGGAAGTTGTAGAGTGCAATGAGGTGTCCCCTGAGCCTCCTCTTCTCCAGACTGAACAATCCCAGCTCCCTCAGCCACTCTTCGTAAGACTTAATGTTCTTACTTAGATGCAAACAGGCTGCAACAGAGCCACGGTCAGTGAAGTAACCACTCCGCAGAATTAGTCTGTGGAGGAACTTTTCTCTATCCACCAGCCATTCAGACACAGAGCCTCTGCTAGCTGCCTAGGAGAAAATGCTACGACTGCTTTTCCATGTGACCTAAGCCAGGTCTTAACATTATTTCCCTATTTTAATAAATCCTCCCATCCTAGCTGCTCTCTGATATTCATTCTCTAAAAAACTTTATGCTATGCAGTAAATTATGCACGATGAAGTTGTGCTGAGACAAAAAAAATTAAGCTATCTCTTTTATTTCACGTACTTTGATATCAACTGCAATATGTCCCTCATGTAAAAAAAAAGCCACATTTCAGTTATGTGGGTGCTGACCTGCCTAGAGATATACTTGTTCATAGCCCATTCCTGCCCTGTGAGTAGTCAGAGTGAAGATCACGGGACTGTTTGTGAACACACTTGAGTATGAAAGTAAAACTTTGCTGACTGTTTCAAGATAACTTCAGGAGTATTGCACAGGAGTACAGATAAAGACCTAGAAATCCATACATTGTGGAGTTAGATGGATAAAAGTGGAAACACTTAAGAGATTGTGGATCTGGTGCTCAGGGATATGGTTTAGCAGTGGACTTGTAGTGTTAGGTGAATGGTTGGACTTGATGATCTTATAAGCTTTTTTTTTTTTTTTGAGAGTAAGTCAAAAGTCATGAAAGTGTTCCACATCCAAATGATAAGGAAAGGAAACACCAGACATATTCTTTGAAGTACTCAAATGAACCCAAAATATTCTCAGATAAACTAGAATTCAAGTAAAAAAGACACAGGGAAACATACCTTAGATGACTAGTAACAGACAACTTTTAAGCATGCAATTCATGTTAAACAGTATAATGCCACCACATCACCACATGGGTCACCTAATAAAAAGATAGTAGGTCAATCTATAAACCACTTGGTGTGGTCTCACTGCCAATATTTTACTGGCAAATCAAACCATGATGACAAGATAAGTAGTTTACAAAGTTTCCATTATTATCATTATTGTTATTACTATTATTGTCTGGAAATGAGTCATAAAATAAAAATACGATTTCCCACAAGAATTTGGAAGGAAGATGTTTGCTTTGAGAAATATGAAATGAAAAAAAACAATTCAGGTTGCATATATATATATATACATATATATATACGTATAAATTTTTTTGACAGCTCTCGAGAAAGATTAAAAAAAGCTCCAAAGGAGACATCGTCCTGCATTTCTATGGGTGGAAACAGTTTTCTCTGAATGCAGGCTGATTGCACTATTAGAAATGCATGATTATACCCACATTTAATACTGGTTCAGTAAAAGGTTTTGTATAAAAATACAGGATTGAGGATGCATGAGGTACGCAGCCCACAAAGTTAAAACCATTAAATCCAGAAATGACAGACTAAAGATAATGCTGAGATACAGAACCTTCCTGAATCTCTTCTTTACAGGCACAGTGGACATTTATACGCTGTATCCAATAATGTCTCATAAAACATAACAATATATTCTTAGAAAATTGATAGAAAAAATATGGGAAAACTCATCTTCATAGTCAGAAACCCTTTCTGTGGTAGATGGCATATATCAGTGACAGATGCAGTTCAGTTTGCTCTAGAACAATTATCAAGTCTTGGTTTATCTCTTTGAAAAATAACCCTGTTACTTTCATAGTTAAAAATTCCAGGCCACTTTATGATCCACTCATTTTAGCTTTTCCAAAAATCAGTAATACCTTCTCATTTTAAAAATACTGTTCTGTGATAATTAATAAGTCATCCCTTTTGGCACTCAAACAAGTACCTGTTAATGTGACTAAAGCATGACTAAAAAAAATCCAGTTTCTTCAAGATATCTGTAAGAAAAATCATGTAGTTACAGAAACTTTGGTCACCATCCAGCTGTTTACTCACCCATTTCTTGTCTAGTACTGCAGATTCCTGTTCCATATTTTTGTAGCTCTTTGGTTACAGTTTTCAAAGCGTTAGGATCTGTTTCTGCAAAGCCGAGGTAGTTATAAGAACCCATATTGATTACATTCTTGATGGTTCTTCCTGTAAACCTATAATCAAAGCAAATTTTAAAGAATGCTGTGACCCTTCTTTGCACTCAAAACAAAAACAAACAAAATTTCCAAATTTTGTTCCATTGTCAGCCTTCCATTTGGAATTCACAATCCTTATAATGTTAACATCTTACTTAATAATTATTGTATCCTGCTCACAACGAGCAGGAGAGCTGTAGATGGCAATATACCAATATTAGGTGAAATGGCACTTCTGTAGATTTAAAAAAAAAAAAAAAAAAAAGCCGAGAACTTTTTATGGTCCAACTTAGAGAGATTATTTTCTCAAATGGCTCGCCAACAGCTTCCACTGGTGTTACTGTACTTACAGAATAAACATGAGGTGAATGACATGGGAAACACTGTGATACACTCCATCCTAAACACTGTCTGCATGATGAATTTCCATATCCATTTAACTCAGTAACAGATAGACTGAAATGATAGACTGAAATTTTCAAGTTTTAAACTGGTTAAAACTCACTTCCAGAGACTCATTATGCAAGATAGAAGCCACACTTATGTAATGCAAGAAATTATTATTCTAGTCCAAAGGGATATAACAAATGTTGTAATATTCTGGCTAAGATGATATAAATGAAGCACAGGAAGTTCTTTCTTAGGCTGATAAAGATAGGCAAAACTAGTTTGTTACAGAGTTCAGTCCCTTCCAGTCTTCATTGCTAAACAGTGTTCAGAAGAAAGGGGATAGACTATCAGAACTGTACTGATTTCAGGAAAAAAAAAGTGCTGATGTATATATTAGTTGGGGATCTTGGTATGATGCACTAGATGCATTTTTTTCCATGCTTTGCAGATATATCAGGATGAACATTTACAGAGCTGAAAGCTGAAGAGTGTCAGCCAACTCACCTAAATGTCCAGTTGTAATCATCTGTAACGCGTTCCATGAGGTCAAACTGCGGCCCTGGGACACTGCAAATTGGACGATTCCAGTTATCACGTATTCTCATATAGAGGTTTCTGGTGTAAAAGTTCTCAAAATCTTGATAAAGTGGCACAAAATCCTGGTTTGAAAACATGCACAGGGTTACGTTGCTAGGAAGGTGTCTGCTAAGGAACTCAAGCCATTCCCATTACATAGGAAAAACTGATGGATTAGTATGCAGAAGGTTACAATCACCACATATTTTATGCTACAAACAATTCCAATTGGAAATTATCTTTATTTTCTTTGAAGTACAGGTTATTTATTTATTTATTTAAATTTCATATGGTCCAGAAGTTGGCATAATTCTCCAATCCAATCTTTGGGAAGGTCAAGATGAAGTCACAATACTTTCACTTACATAATCCACATTTCTCAAATGGGGCACTTTGTTATGTGCAGAGTACATTCCAAACCTGAGATAAACAACAGGTTGTATCTCAGTAAATGTTTGATACATTAAAGCAAGTCCAGTGTACCTGGTTTCAGCATTGTTGGCCAGACAAGTTTGGTTGACGGTAAGTTTCTGTCTGTGAATTTTAATTTGGAAAACAAACTAACAGGAAGGTACAGAATGAAAACAGACATTTATCTGAAACCCTAACACAGTCATATTAGACACTAGATAGAATAAACTGGTAAAAGGAAATGACATGGTATGTAGGAGACTGAAGAATGAACTGAACATGTTGTGCCTGGTGGATGGTATGGAGATTTGACCAGCATGTCTGAAAGCAAAATAGTGCATGAATAGTCAAAACATGAAGTGAATTCAAAAGGAAAATCCAAAATAAATATATCATAACACTATGATATTTCATTTGAAAATGCACATATCTTCAAAAAGTCAAAACAGAAAATCTTTTTTGAGAATTTTATATGTAAGAGGAACAGAAACACTATTTGCATTTTTCCATTCACTATGCCAAGTGTTATTTTAAATTACAGTGCAGTCTGTACAGGGCAGGGAAGGTGGAACAATAAAAAAATCTAAACAAATTCAGAATGCAATTAAACTTGCAGGGGTGCAAGTTTCATTTAGGAATATGCAAATTCTAGGCAAGGATTCACAAGAATTCAGGCTACATTCACTTTGCACCAGGACAATTTCCACATGTTTTGTGACCAGCTGTTTGACAAACGAAAGTGAGCAATTACAAAGATGGGGCTCTGCCTATTGCTACAATAGACAAGGTAAGAAAGTCAAACGGGACAAAAAAAGATCAGGGTAAAGAGATCGGGAGAGATGATGTATTTAACAGTAAGGGGTTTCTGAGTTTTCTTTTTCTATAGATTGAACTAAGACACTGAGGTACATAACTTCTTTTTCATACGTACTTTTTGTTGTTGTCTCTCCTGTGCAACGTTACGTTTTTCTAGTCCCCAGGCTCTCATAAAATCTCGCAGGTAACCAAATATTGTGCCCACTCCAAAACCCACAAACGTAAGAACAGCAACATACATTGGTGCTTGTTCAAAGTGCTCAATAAATGTTTTTTTGTGGGGAGTTCCATTTGTTACACCATTCTTCTGAAAATACAGAACAGAAATTTGCAACATTTAAATAAAATAATATTTTATTTGATCAAAGCTTATACCAAAACCTTAGATCTTGAGGAAGACATTTTTGTCTACTATGGCACAAATCCAGAGAGGCATTTAGAGCTCTCACCATATCAACTAATGCAACCTATCCTTGAAGAAGAGGACCTCTAAAACTGCCCTTGGTACTGATCACTGCAAGCATGTTCCATTTTCTCTCCTGTCAACCAATGTCTTCAATTGCAGATGTCTTCCACTTACCACTCCCATGTCTATTTTGAAACATTTAAAACTTATGAAAGACTAGCAACGCATTATTGTGTAATTGGACAACTATTTCAAAGGTGATTAAATGGAAACCACAATATTCTGTTTTTGCAAGACAACTATAAAAAGGGAAGGGCAGCATTGAAAACTCACCCACATCGAACCTGACGCTGCTTCTTGAAGTCTTTTGTAACACACTAGAGCAGCTATCCCATACACAAGAAATCCTGCCTAATATAGGGCATCTTTACCATGATGCTCTTCTTGATGTGAGCAAGTATCCAAAACAGCAGTGATCCCAGCCTTTTAGATCAGATTATTCTTTTGAATAGAGGTCATCCCCTTAGTTCCTTAAAGTATGACAGTATTTTCCTGTTACTTTCTAGTGATGTCCAACCTACCAATTCAAAAACATTTTAAAAAATGTAATCCAGAAAAAAAAAATCCAAAAACAACCACTCTTTGCCTGTGGAATGAATGAGCAAAAAAACAAACAAAAAACCAAACAGCCACAACAAAAGAAGGAGGTTATCTATTGATGCAACATAGCAAGTTGAAATACAATAATCATGCTAAGAACCACCACAAATTATCTGCACTTCCTAGACAGATCTAGTGTTACTGGTCTTCCTACTGCCTTAAGCTGCCGATATAGTCAAAAGATTTTCATTTCCATTGTAACGTCCAGTCTTGGTTTCACCATGTTTTTTTGGAAGAAAAAAATGCTGAATACAGAACAGAATGTAAAGATTTCATAGGTAACCAAAAAAAGGAAAAAAAAAAAATCACTAGGAAATGGTGAAAATAACGTGTTTAGACTTAGGAAAGATTTACTGCCCTGTGAAGGAGAAGGAATAAAAAGCTGTCTCTTCCAACATGAGCACAGAATTTGGAAGCGATTTTACACTAGCACCCCTACCTAAAGCTAATTGTTCTTTTAGGTCAACCTATCTACCATATAAAACATTTTGTGAGCCCAAATTAAACACATCAAGTCATATGCCAGGTAAGACACAACGGCTATGTGCACACTACATCACAACACTGAATTTCATCCAGGACTAAGCTAAGTCCCGTTACCTTACATGTGCGATGGACTATGAGCATACTTATGGTCATCTATGGCAATTCCACTGACTTTGTACTTTGGCAAGCTGTGATGATGTGACAATGAACCTGAGTTCAGAGGAGAGAATTAGCATGACGATTCCGTTCATCCATTTTATTAATAAAACTTTACTATTACGTATTTCATTTGTAAAGAAACTGAGAAGCTTTGGCTTAGACTCCTGCATTGCAAAACTCTTCTGCAACACTCTTTTGCTATGGAACTCTTGTTTGAGCTACGTTCTGAGCTCAGATGCTCCCATTTTATGCATTGGTATATGCATTTAAAGATTTAACCACTGTCACCTCCTATGCTTACAGCAAACAGCTAGTGGTAAACTGCACATCAACAGGAGTAAAACACTAAGAACATGAAGTCAGATAGTGACCCAAATTTTCTAAAACAACAGACTATCAATGTTCAAAAACAAGAGTCTCAAAAAGCAGAGGTTAGTATAAGGCTGAGAAAACAAATTCAGAAACATACAGTGAATTTTTTTCTAAAAACAGAAGTGGGTAAAACAGGGGCATTCCATCCATCCCTGGAGTTCCACAAAAAGAAAAAAAAAAAGAAAAAAAGAAGTAGAGGAAGACTCCAAGCACTGAAATAACCAAAATAGGTGGATTCCAGGGAGTCATAAAACTGGATGCTTTTGTGCTGCACTTCAGATATACCATACCTGAACTCTAGCAATTCTTAGCAGATGATGAGGGAAAGATTCTGAAAAAAACAGTGAATAATGCTTTCCTTAGTACATTCTCCCAACTTCCAACAAACTGAAGCTTGGATATTTCGTGATCCTGAGACTACATTATCACATTTAATTGTCATTGGGGATACCATGAATATGTTCTTATTTTTGAACACACAAATAGTATGGGAAAAAAATAATGAATTTCAATAATTGAGTTAGCCTGAAAAAGAAAAAAAGTATTTCACAAATTTTTATTAGGTAATTGATACTTCCACTTGACAAGTTACTTTACGACCATTGGCTTCCACTCAGTTTTCCTATTCAGCTAATCATGCTCTCTCTCCAGTCAGAGATCCCTGAGGGACTGATTTCCCTGCATTTCCCTGGCCAAAGGTTGTATCTTTGTAACCCTCCAATTCTGTCTTGACAATGCCAACTTAATCAGCAGCTCAGAGCTGCTCAGCAACTTTATTCTTCACAAATCTTGAGTAAATATTATCCTTTGTGATATGCTAATTCCAAATACTATTGTCTTGTTTAAAAAAAATAATTCTGCTGATGTTCCAAATCAAAATAGTTTCTCACAAGTCTGCCACTGAGTAAGAATACTTTCTAGGCACAAACACAAGGAATCCACCAAAGCAAGGAATAAAGATAAAAAAGACAGGAAGCTAATAGATAAAATTAAAAACAAACATATTTTAAAACCCAGCTCAACAAATCTAGGATTTCAACAGCTTTGTGGAAACAAAAAGCAAAATCGGCATTATAATATTTATCCTCCTTGCACTGAGGCTTACTTAGCTTACCAGATCACATTGCCTTGTACACTCTTACAACCAAAGATCATTCTGGCAGCCCTGCCTCATAATCTCCATCTGCAGTGCACAGTTATATAGAATCCTTGTTGACAGATCTGGCAGCAGCCTTAAACCACAGTTGCATAGTGGTTTCCAGTAAGACAGTCACAGCAAGAGAATTTCTGGGCAAAGTTTTAATGCCAATGAAGTCAATAGGAGCAATTCCAGTACGGTCAGTCAAGCCAGCTTTAAATGCAATACATCTTGTATCCCTATATTGTGCAGTTTACAAGAGAAGAGGTAACCATGTACTCCAGTATAATTTATGAGTAAGCCCATGAATGGAATGGAGATGAGGAAACTGAGACCTGAGAGCCAATGTTTTCACACAAGACCATTCTGTAGAAGCAATGTACACTGCAAAGAAATCCAGAAATCACAGTCTCCTTTTTGAAACCTCTCCTTAATTAATATTTTGTAAGCTATTATGGCTCCTTCCAGTACAGCAGCAGTAGGTGTATATATCCTTGAAATAAAACTACTGGGAGAATAAAGTCTTTTTCTTTAAACATATTTCCTCTCCTAGAAATAAAAACTGATCCAGAAACAGATGAAACTTTTATTTTACACTCCTTCAGTTTAAGAAGCACATTTAATCTGTTTCTGGATCAGATGTTATCACGTTGTTGCATAAAACCTATAAAAACGCAATGTAAGCTGAGAGATCCACATAACGCTGACGTGACAAACACAAATATGAAAGGGATAGATGTTGAAAAACATAAATCAAATGACAGCCACATTTGCCCAGTTTCTGCCTGATTCCAAGAAGCCATTGAAATCTCATGTGAATTATGACAATGCATTGCTACAGCCAAAAACCAATGGGAGCACAGACTGACAATCACTGATGAAACATCTGGTTGCTTGCAGATAATTTGGTTCTACACAGAGATGAGCGGAGCTACTAAATGCCTTCCTTGCTTCAGTCTTTACTATTAAGATTGCTCCTTAGGAGTTTCAGATCTGGAGATAAGAGAGAGAATCTGGACAAAGGAAAACCTCCCCTTGGTTGAGGAGGATCTGGTCAGGGACCATCTAGCCAAACCTGACACACACAAGTCCACAGGTCCCAATTATGCACTCATGAGTGCTATGGGAGTAGGCAGAAGTGACTGCTGAACAACTCTCTATCACCTCTGAATAGTCACAGCAAATGGGAGAGGTGCCTGAATTCTAGAGAAAAGCCAATATTGTTCCAGTCTTCAGAAAGAGCAAGAACGAGAAGTCAGGAAACTACAGGTCAGTCAGCTTTATCTCCATTCCTGGAAAGGTGATAGAGCAGCATATTCTGGATGTCATCTCTAAGCAAATGGAAGAATCGAAGATTATCAGAAAGAGTTAACATGGGTTCACCAAGTGGAAATCATGCTTCACCAATCTAGTAGCCTTCTATGATGTCATGACCAGCTGGGTAGATATGAGAAGTGGTTGTTTCCTACCTTCAGTAAGCCTTTTGACAATGACTCCTATAACATTCTCATAGGTAAACTTAGGAAGTGTGGATAGATGAGTGGACAGTGAGGTGGATTAGAACTTGCTGACTGAGAGAGCTCAGAGGGTTGTGATCAGTGACGATGAATCTAGTTGGAGGCCTGCCTGGAGCAGTCTGCCCAGAGAGGCAGGGGAGTCTCCTTTGGAGATATTAAGAACCTGTCTGAACGTTTTCCTGTGCAACCTACTGTAGAGAACCTGCTTTAGCAGAGGAATTGGACTAGATGATCACCAGAGGTCCTTTCCAACCACTATGATTTCTGTGATATAGTGTTTTGTAACTTGAGTGGTAATCTACATGAAGAATACATGCAATTTAACATCAGAAGAAAATCAGAAGAAAAATGGTTTGTTGCAAGTACTAAATAAACTGTCTACTCTGTATTCTCCAAATTTACTGAACTGCATGTTTTCATCTGGTATGAATGTAGTACAATAAGAACTGAGCATTGCTGAACAGTCAGAAGAATGTTTGTCAAAAGAAAAGACATCTTCATATAGTACAGAAGCTTAGGTACAAAGATGTGGGACTAACATGAAGAGTTTCTCTGGAGAGCTTCTAAGC